GCCGGTTCGGAGCCGGTTCTTGCCGCTTTACAGAAAGGGCGAAAGCAGACCGATGCGCTGCATTCCAGCTCCGCACCAGCAAAACCGCAAATACATTTGATAAGATCCAAATAAGGCCCGAGGTAAACATTTAGCGCCTAGAAACAGAGCTTTCCAGGGAAAATAGGTATCGTTTGTAATCAGAAAGTGATGCGGCAGGTGAGGGTTCAAACAGACCAGCTGTATTATTTTTGCTAAAGAGGATAAATTCTTATTTGAAGCTTTCCCTTCCCTTCCTGAGCAGGAGGAATGGAGAGCTCCGAGCTGTCACTCAAAAGGCAAGTTTTATATTTTCCCTGCTTGATTTTCTTCTTCCCCTAAATGCGATCGTTGCGATCGCTGTCAACCGGAGCCTTTCGCCTTGCTCTGAGTCAGGTGAAGATACAAAAACTCAGACTCCACTTCCCAAAGCAGCACGGTCCCTCCTCTGCGGCGCGGGGCTCAGCCGTCCGCAGTCACGTTGGCATTTAACCGGGAAAGATTACCTGCCTCTGTTCGGGGGTAACCGCGCTGATCCCCCTTTACCTTCACGCACCGTTGTTGCTGTGTTGTCACTTAGCTGGAAATCAAACAGAAGGAGGGTTTGGAGGGCGAAGGGCTAGCTAAGGGGGTGCCAGTCCCCCCGGCGCTGGGGCATACCCTGGGTCAGAGGCTGGCGCTGTGCAGCCCCTTCGCCTTCACTGGTGAAGCTTTGGGCAATGGAGCTGCTGGGCTTTCTGGAAAAAAAACACTGGCAAAGGGCTAATCACCGACTGTGAATGGGAGTAAAGGCTGGACAGGGGAGCAGTGAAGACACCTCTGCCCCACCATGAGCTGGCAGAGGGGTACGTGGCAGCACCAGAGCAATCTGGGCGATGCAAACAGGGATTCACAAGCGATTTCCTAGCTGCTTCTCCCCGGAGTGAAATATTTCCTTGGCTAGCCAAGACCAAGCGGTGTTCTTCTGCCCATGCAGTGTTAGACTTCTTGGGTCTGACTCTCGTCTTGCTTAGGACAGAATTTGAATTGACTGAAGCCAACTAAGCAACACAGAGTGAGGAACAGAAGTGACAAAATAATTAAACTACAGGAGGATGATATCTTTACGTGCCCACAGGAGATCCTTATTGGGTTTTGTTGTGCAGAAAAGCCTACCTGCCTTTTCCTGTGGTTGCGAAGGCCTCTTCTTTTGGAGCACAGCAATAACCCCAGGGTGCTCTCGTCCAGCTGAACTTGGTAGAACACTTTTTATTGAGCCCAGTGGGCGCTGGGTCTGGCTGATAATTAATCACTTCTCTGGCTTGCTGTACAACCAAATAGCAATAGAGTGGCGGATTGAAGGAAACCTGTGTGTTTTGCCAGCCCGGGCAGGCTCAGCCCAGCAGATGTGGTGGTGGCCAGGAGGCGTGTGGGGTGGCGGTGGCTCTGCTGTGGGAACAACACCAGATTTCTGTCAAACAGTTCGAGGGGATTCGAGGGAGCAGAATATGCTGGCATTTTTAGTGGCCAAACTATTTTCCTCTGGAACAGAATAAATGCCAGTGTTTTCTTATCTTCCCTCAAGTTTTCATACTGACCTGCACAATGTAATTTTTGAAGATGAAAATGGGACCATTCTGCTCCTTCAAGTGACGCA